GCGGGCCACGGCCTCTTCAGCCTGCCGGTGCCCTCCCTGCTCGGCTCCGTCGCCAGCCGCCTGTCTTCCGCCCCGTTGACAATGGCTGGTTCGCTAGCCGGGAATTTGCAAGAACTCTCCGCCCGGTACCTGAGCTCCTCGGCCTTCGAGCCTTACTCCCGGACCAACAATAAAGAAGGGGCCGAGAAAAAAGCGCTGGACTGATTTTACGTGTTTCCCTGTATTTATATTTATAGTATCTATTGTGGTGATATTTATGGATTCACGCGCGTTAGGCGCCCAGGGCTCCTGCGCTGGCCTCCTGGCTCCACCAGGCCTCTGACAGCTCCCTTCCCACCACGCTCTGCGTCTCACTTGGGCTACTATCTCCCTTCCCCCCACGCCCTCCAATGCCCTTTTTTCTGAATGCAGGAGCGATCCAAAGAATTGAGGGAATTACCCGAATTAGCCAACCTGATGTCCCAACTAATGCTCAGCTCTGGAAGGCAAAGACTGGTTCTAAGTCCGTGGCGCAGGACGCCTGCTCTAGATCGGGCTGCTGCCGCTGCGGATTATTCCTATGAATATTTGAAAGAGGAAAGCTTTACGCAGACCCCAGGGGCTGAAAAAGCGTGCAGGTTTCTTTAGACCAAAAAAGGAGGACATTTCTTCCTCTTGCCAGAGAAGCCAGGGCTTTTGGGAGCCCCTGGGCCCCACTTTGCGGACCTCTCGGAATTTTTGGTGCACACTTAGCTTCCTGGCGGACACTTTCTGCCGAGTTTTCTCCCTTTTAGGGAAACTGCGATCACAGCCTCCTTTGACCCCAGGGAAAAATAAACCAAACATTATAGTAGGCAACGGTAGTAATAAATTTAATCTAATCAGCAATAAAGATTGATAATAACTACTACATCAAACCAGATGATGTGGAACCAGTTTTTAAATATTTGTAATTAATGGAGTTTGGAAGGTGTAAGAAAGATCACAGTAGGGAATGCGCCACGGGGCAATGCGAAATTAAAAGTTCTGGGTGTTTTGACTTTAAACAGGAATTTAAAGGAGAGAAAGCAAAAGAAACGGTCACCAGTAAAGAAGTCAGAATCTTTTCTTCGAGGCCTTTGGGGCAGTGTCGGACAGCTTCCTGCTTCTTCCGGAGGGCCCAGCGCGGGGCCGCAGGCAGCTGTCCGGACCTCAGCATTTCCTCCCAGGGCCTCTCAGACGCGTGGCTGAGGGAGAATTGCTGGGCTTGGAAACGAATCTTAACACCCATTGCCTCCTCTTCCACACTCCCGAGATTAACAAAACCTTTCAAGCAAGCAAGAAACGCCTGGGTTTCAGCGCAGCTCTTTTTGTGAGGGGAGGTAGGGACGCTGCCCCGTCCCTCAAACCCCAAAGGTTTCCTGCATGGCTGACAGGACAGGCACTGACTGTCGCTCTCTAACCACAGAGTTTTAGTGGTCCCAAGTCAGAACTCCGACTGTCAGGGTGGCGCGGCTGCACCCCTGCCCCGCGCAGCAAAGACAGTCCCCACAGCCACGGCCACCCGCATTCTAACCAAAATCACAGACCCAGACCGCGAGATGCGCAGTGTCTAGAATGTATTTGTCCATTCGAAATGAGCGCAAACCATTTTTTAAAATAGTAACTTTATTGTAAATTATTTACGCTGGAAGCTTTTTTTTCCTTTTTTATTTTTATTTAGGCAAATAGTGAAAAAATAATGAACGATTCAAACGCGGGTAGGTGTCACTGAATCCTGGCTACTAACTTTGTTCTGAATGTTTTGGCTATTTGGATGTTTTGTATTTATGTGGTGAGAGTGAAATATATATATCTATGATGATAAATGAAGTGTATTTTTGTCTTATATTTGAAGGATAAAAATAAAAACAAAAAAGAAGAAAAAGAAGAAAGATCCAGGAAATGATGAGTCTCGGCGTGGGGACTCCTGGGACAGGGGGTGGCAGCAGCTGCAGTTTGGGGTCCTGCAACCTATACCGAGAACTTGTAGGGTGAAGTTTGGGGGAGATTGCGGTTCCGAGAGAAACAGACCGCTGGACTACAAGGACCCAGCACCCTTCCCCGATTCTCTCCCTCCCTCCGGAGCTCAGTTTGCTCCTAAAATGTCCAGTCCCACAGGCCCTCCCCCACTGTGAGTTTCTGGGTTTATTTAGGAACTTGTCTCTGATATCTAAAATCCCTGGCTCTTCACACTGGTGTTTTCTAGAGTTTTCCAGCTGCATCCACTTGTGGGATTTTGTGCAATCACGGGGCCAGGACAGGAAAAATTTTATTCTCTTCTGATTTAGAACAAGTTTCTCTGCTGTCAATAAGAAAGAAAGAAAGAAGAAAAAGAAAAGACCAATCAACCAATCAAACAAACAAATAAACAAAAAAACAAAACAACTTTGAGGAAGCAAGAGAGTGAAATCTGTACTAATTCCTAGGAAAAGATTTCTCCCTCCTTCAGGTCATCTGGTCCCAGATCCTAGGCCGTGGAGTAGGAGTCTGGGAATCTCTAAGGAGGTGGGAGAGGCCTCTCCTGAACACGCTGTCCTCCACCGCCTGCGGCCGGCCAAGTGGCGGGCACAGCAGCTCAGGACCCTCCACCGGCGTCCAAACACCTGAGGGTTAGGGTTTCGGAGACCTGCAGCCCCCTCACTGCACCGGCGCAAGCCAGGCACCCAACCCTTCCTCCTGTGCTAGGACTGCACCACCAATTCGGGACATCCAGAAAGTGGCTGCTACACAGTGTGGGCAGCGGAGCCCTTAAACTGAGTTGAGGTGGTGCTGGTTTGGGGTCCGCTTTGAGCTCTGAGTTTTGCTGAGTTAGATCAGTCCCCCGCGGACAGTTCACTTTTGTTTTGCAAAGTCCGTAGGTCCTTCAACTCTGCTGTGCCCCTCACCCTTCCCTTGAAGCCACTTTCTTTTCTTTTTCTACTCTTCTCTCCGGTCCTGAACACATCCTGTCCCTCCTCTGAGGACCTTTCTCCCTAGTAGGCTCTCTAGGCTTGCCAAGCCTTGTCTCTTGTCTCCCCCATTTCTCTCTCTCTCTCTCTCTCTCTCTCTCTCTCTCTCTCTCTCTCTCTCTCTC